GTGTATATACTGACAATATTTATGAATGTAGGCATGTATGTATGTATATCTTTATATATGTATGGGTGTATATATTTATATATGCCCTCCATGTATTTATCCATTTATTTTTCAGGTGAGCGGACAGATGTTGGGTGTGTGATCCTGTGTTTTGTTGGTGTATATTTAATATACTTCTAATCGCTATTTCAATCTTTCTATCCTTCTAATTACTTCTCTCTCTGTTTTTCTCTCTGTCTCTATTTTCTCTTAACTTAAAAAAGTCACTGATGATGAAGAAATAAATAAACTAAATAAACTAATATTTGGTTTCGTTTTCTACTGAAGTGACAAAAAAAGGTTCAACAGAGGGGACCAATAAAAAGCCCACAGTCCTCCCACACGTGCACAAGTGTTTTGGGTGTGCGTAACGCTAAACCAGATACAGCCTCCTCGAGGCTCCTATGAGAATCCACTTTTCGACTCCCAGCTCCCAACCTTTCGCACTTCTTCAGTGTGACCCTGCCGAGTGGGTGAAAAGGAAGGGAGGGAGAGAGGCAGGCAGCTCGTCCCRTCCCTCGCTCCAGGCTCTCAGGAAGCCAGGCTGATATTCTTGGCTTGGATGCGGTGCTCATGACAGGATTAGGTGCCTGGGACACGGGACCAACTGGAGATCTGCAGGTTCCAGTGGACCAACCCGAGCCAGATTCTCACCCAGCACGGGTAGGACTTTAAGATTCCTAAAAGTCATTATCCAGATGCAACTTACTACCCTTTAGTCATTCAGCTGTTATCCAATATGCATGAAAAAAAAAGTCTGGGAACTGGGATTTGGCTCCATTTATAGGACAGTTTTTAAAAAGCCTTAAAAAAAGGGAATCATTTTCATTTTGAGAAGAAAATCCTTGTTTGGAGAAATAAAGCCCAACATTATTATTTATTTTATTATATTTTTTACTTCAAAATCTAAAAGATAAATAATTATTTACTTTTTTTATTTTTAGAAATTTAAATCTTCTGTATTAAATGAATCAGATCAGTTTTGAAAGTGTGCTTTCTTGAGTTCTTACAGTAGCTCCATGCACATTTAGTCAATTATTATAAAAAATGCTTAAAATGTTTCTTTGATATTGGCTGGTGGTCCCGATTCCCCCTGCCATGATAGATAGAGCTACGAGCCACATTTGTCGGCRTAAGGGTTTAATTTTTTCCACTTGAAACCCCACTTTTGTACTGTAAGGAAGCAATTTTGGCTACAGGCACACTCTCCGAATGAGTCATGTTCATTGAAAACACAGCCAGTTAACTCTTTGTTGTTAGCGAATGTAAGTTAAAAAAAAAAACTTTGTAAGTTACATTTAAGGTAGAATTGTGAAAGGCTTCGCACTGACCAGGAAAGCAGTTGGCTTGCATTCACAACATGCATTGCAGCGACTGCASCGCGAGTTGGAACAGAAATCCCAAAGTGACGCCGAGCAGAGCTGCAGCGCCATGTGGTTCCACTCTGGAATCCTGAAACYAAATAAATACATGGAGAGGAGGAGGAGGGGAAGAGGAACTTGCATGTCTTGCAATTTCACTAAATGGCATACATTTTCAGCTGTTTCAGCTTGCAACAGTGACATTTAAGCTCTGAGCTTTGTTGTGTGTGTGTGTGTGTGTGTGTGTGTGTGTGTGTGTGTGTGTGTGTGTGTGTGTG